GTTTCTATTTGTTTGTGTCATCTGTGATTTCTTTCAGCAGAGTTTTATAGTTTTTTGTAGTTTGTTGAGGTCTTTTACCTCCATGGTTAGGTATATTCCTAAGCATTTTAATTTTTTGCAGTTAGTGTAAAAGGAGTTGAGTTCTTGATTCGATTCTCAGCTTGGTCGTTGTTAGTGTATAGCGGTGCTACTGATTTGTGGACATTAATTTTGTATCCTGAAGCTTTACTGAATTCATTTATCAGATCTAGGAGGTTTTTGCATGAGTCCTTAGGATTTTCTAGGTATATGATCATATTGGCGACCAGCAACAGTTTGACTTCCCCTTTGCTGATTTGGACACCCTTTATTTCCTTTTCTTGTCTGATTGTTCTGGCAAGGACTTCCAGTATCATGTTGAATAGAAGGGGTGAAAGTAGTCATCTTTGTCTTGTTCCTGTTCTCAGTGGGAATGCTTTCAACTTTTCCCCATTCAGTATTATGTTGGCTATGGATTTGCCTGAATACCTTATTTTCTCACTGTGTGTGTGTGTTTTTTTTTATAGGCCCTATGATATTCATGCTTTAAGGGGGTTCTATTTTGGTATATTTTGATGTATTAAGATTTAGAATTTCTTTTACCAGTTCTTGTAGCACTGGCTTGGTAGTGGTGAATTCTCTCAGCATTTGTTTGTCTGAAAAAGACTTTATCTTTCCTTCGTTTATGAGCTTAGTTTCTTGGATACAAAATTCCTGACTAATAATTACTTTGTTTAAGGAGGCTAAAGATAGGATCCCAATCCATTCTAACTTGTAGGGTTTCTGCTGAGAAATCTGCTGTTAATCTGATAGATTTTTCTTTGTAAGTTAGCTGATGCTTTTGCCTCATAGCTCTTAAGATTCTTTCCTTTGTCTTGACTTTAGGTAATATGATGACTCTTTGCCTGGGTGATTATCTTTTTGTGATGAATTTTCCAGATGCTCTTTGAGCTTCTTGTATTTGGATGTCTAACTGTCTAGAAAGGCCAGCAATATTTTCTTTGATTATTCCCTCAAATATGTTTTCCAAACTTTTAGATTTCTTGCTGAGGAACACCAATTATTCTTAGGTTTGGTCATTTATCATAATTCTAAACTTCGTGGAGGCTTTGTTGATTTTTTAGAAAGTTATTTTTCTTTGTTGGATTGGGTTAATTTGAGAGCCTTGTCTTCAAGTTCTGTAGTTCATTCTTCTACTTACTCCAGTCTATTGTTGAAACTTTCCAGTGTATTTTGTATTTCTCTAAGCATGTCTTTCATTTCCAGAAGTTTTAATATATTTTTATTTATGACATCTATTTCTCTGGAGACTTTTTAATCTATATCCTCTATTTTTATTTTAATTCCTTTATGTTGCTTTATACCTTTATCTGGTTCCTCCTTTAATTTGAGAGCCTTGTCTTCAAGTTCTGTAGTTCATTCTTCTACTTACTCTAGTCTATTGTTGAAACTTTCCAGTGTATTTTGTATTTCTCTAAGCATGTCTTTCATTTCCAGAAGTTTTAATATATTTTTAGTTGTTTTATTTATGACATCTATTTCTCTGGAGACTTTTTAATCTATATCCTCTATTTTTATTTTAATTCCTTTAAGTTGCTTTATACCTTTATCTGGTTCCTCCTTGAGTAGCTTAATAATCAGCTTTCTGAATTCTTTTTCTGGCAATTCAGAGATTTCTTCTTGGTTTGGATCCATTGCTGGAGAGCTAATGCGATCTTTTGGGGTTGTTATAGAACCTTGTTCTGTCATTTCAGAATTGTTTTTCAGGTTCCTTCTCATTTGGGTAGACTATGTTAGAGGAAAGATCTCTAACTCAAGGGCTGCTGTTCAGATTCTCTTGTCCCACAGAGTGATCCCTTAATGTGGTGCGCTCCCCTTTCCCATAGGGATGGAGCTTCCTGAGAGCCAAACTGCTGTGATTGTTATTGTTCTTCTGGGTCTGGCCACCCAGCAGAGCTATTGGGTTCTGGGCTAGTACTAGGGAATATCTGCAAAGGTTCCTATGACTTTTTCTGTCTTCAGTCCTCCCAATCGTAGGTACTAGCACTGGCTCTGGTGGAGGCAGCAGGGGAGTGAAGTGGATTCTGTGAGAGTCCTTGGTCATAGTTTTGTTTAGTGCACTGGTTTTCTCAAATGCTGGTTATGCTAACAGTGAAGTTGTCACACGGACAGACTCAGGACCTCTGGTGAGCCAGGATGTTAAGGCAGTAGAATGCACTGTTGTTTTCTCCTTCCTGCAGCAAGGTTGTTCTGTTACGAGTGGCTGTCATGACTTGAGTTGTCTGGCCTTCAGCCAGGAGGTGGCACTTTCAAGAGTGCATCAGCTGCAAGTACGGGGGAGATACAAGCTTGACCTCAGGTCACTGGATAAGTATTTAGGTTTCTCAGGTGAAGGGTGAGGTCACAGATCTCCCATGAGTCTTTTGTCTTCAGCTCCAGGGGCAGGTAGAGAAAGACCATCAGTTGGGAACAGGGTTAGGTGTGTCTGAGCTCAGACTCTCAGGCAGGGCTTGCTGTGGCCACTGTCAGGGATGAGGGAGTGGTTCTCAGGCCAATGGAGTTATGTTCCAGAGGGGATTATGGCTGCCTCTGCTGCTTCATACAGTTTGCTAGAAAAGTAGGGGAAGCCAGCAGTGACAGGCCTTACCCAGCTCCCAGGCAGCCAGAAAGGCCAGTCTCACTCCCACCACCGTGGTGCCCCAACAGCCAACAGAGCCAAATTTACATCCAGGCCTCCTTTGCCTGGAGCTAAGATCTTGCCCCAGGCTACAAGCCTCCCCATTGAGAAAGCAAGCAGGGCTTTCAGGTCTCACCCTTCCCTGTCTGCCTTGGCTTCTGTGCTTATAACTGTAGTTCAGGTTCACACCCTTCAGATTCTGACCAGGAAAATTTGTGATTGGTCAAAATAACCACAAAGTTTGGCTGGAAGCCTCCTTCTCCCCATGGCCCTCCCCAGATTGTACTGGCTGCCCTCCCCAAGGACTTCTGTGAGATAAAGTCAGAAATGACTTCCCTGGGGACCTGCCTACAAGGGTCCTTGGGGGAGACAGCTCTTCCTGCTGCTGTTTCTACTTTTATATTTCAGCCAGCTCCCTAAATTCATTTCAGGTCTAGGTTAGGTTAAATCCTTCTCCTGTGATCTGGATTTCTAGGTTCCCCAGTGAGGATGTGTGTTCAGAGATGGACTTTCTCCTTCTCACACTTTGGGAACCCACAGTTTTTTGGCTGTCTCGTGGAATTTGCAGTAGCAAGCTACTTCTTTCAAAGGGTTTGTGATTCCTTCAGTTTTGCTGGTATATTCCTGTGGTGGTTCCTGTAGCAAAAGTTTACAGTGTGACTCTCAACATGCTGTTCTGTCCATCTGAGTAGGAGGAGCAAGTAAGTCCTGCCTCTTATATGCCTTTTTCCCCCCTTCCAAACCCATATCTTTTCAAGAAGAGATTTGATTTCTCTGGTTCTTTGGTTGCTGGCCTGGCTATGCATTAGACTCATCTCAGGAGAGTATACAAAATGCTAATGTCCTGAATCTAACATGAGAGATTCTGAATCAATGGGTCACGGTTGACGCACAGGCACTGATGTTCTTCTTTGTGACAGAATGGGCAATTCTATGTATCAGAATTGGTAAATCTGGGGATCTTTAAAAAATCCTAATGTTCAAGTCATAAGTAGTGCAGACTGATTAAATTAGAATTTCCCCAGAAGTGGGATACAGGAAACAATATATTTTTTAAAGCTCTTCAGGTGATTCCAGGCCGCACGACAATTTGAGATACAACCTGAGCAAAGTCTGGTTATGGAGACATGAGGATGTTATAAGTCAATGTTGTTACTGGCCTTGGAAAACTTATTAACAGAGGTGACCATGCCTTTGCTGGAACTGTTTCACTCTTTTCCCCACATACATCTGGCTGTCGGCTATGAAACCTAAACCTCCATGTCTAGCCCATACAAAATCAGCCACACAAACACTGACCTCCAGGGCTGTTTTAACCATTCGTGAGCCTCTGAATTGGCTGAGCATCAAATCAGTGTGGATAAGACCTAAATCTTGTTGGAGGATTGCTTTGGAGGTAAGGTGTATATAAAACTATTTGCTTATCCCTCTTCTGTTAAGTATCATGTGTCAGTGTTATTGCATGATATTCTGTGTGAGTGCTGCCCCCTACAGTTGTCCAAGAAGGTGACCCTGCCTAAAATAGACATTTCACTGCAATGAAAAGAATCAAACCATGACTTAATTTACAGAAGGGACTCATCTATGATTTCAGCAGAACCCAAAGCAGGCAGCCATATAGCAAGCAGAGAATGGATGGGGTCCGTGGGATCAGAAGGTTTGCATAGTACCGAGCACCAGATAAGCAGCTGAGTAAAAATGCCTCATGATTTGCTGGGTCATGATGGTTTCAGTTCTAACCAGCTCAGCACTCTAATGGCTTCCCTGAGCCATTCCTTTACCGAACTAATGACAGGCTCCACACATTGAACATAATAGCTTGGCCTGGCCTGTTCCTTCTGGCTGATGCTTAAGACCATCTTTAGCTCTACCTGCACCTTGGAGTACATTTTCAGGATTTTCCCTTTCATCCACACCACTTACTTGAAAATGCTGTTATCCTCTCACATTTGCTCCTTCCCCCTAATCACCAGGCCGGCCCTATCTATTACCACTTCAAGCTTTGTTTCTAGAGACCTCAGTGGTCTAGAGCTCAGCCTCCCATACTCACTATCCAGGGGAAATAAGAACATTGGAATGTTTCCACTGAAACAAAGGGAAAGAATGCTTTCACACTGAGACAGCCAAGCCCAGACACATCTGCCTGGCTTGGGGGATGCATCTGGTATTCTTTGCTCATCACACATAGCAACATACTCCAACTGAGACTGAACATGCTTCAGGGAACAGCAGTCATGACACAGAACATATGCCTGGAGAAAGGAGTGGGACATACTGGGAGTAATAGTTCAGAATTTGTACTTACACAAGGGTCAACTGAGGTATTATTGTGAGACTTCAGTATTCTCTGTTGAAAGAAAGAAAGATTGATTTATAATATTGAATGTGTTGTTTCCATCTATCACTTATTTAAATTTAAATAGTCATCTTTGAAGGGATTCAGGAACGAGTTGTAAAAAATAATTGGGAAGAAAAGAAGGCCAGCAGGCTGGGGTGGCTCCAGTGCTTTAAGTTCCTAAGTAAGCAAACTGAAACCTGATGGAAACAGTAAAATGAAACTAGAGATTTGCCAACTAGAATCCGCCATCTAACCTCTAATTAGCATCTTTCCATGATGCTAATTAATATAGTTTCTGTCTTACTCCTGTGTTGGCCTCACTGTCTGGACTGCTGCAGAAGAGCTCTCTAAACTTCTTGTTCTCCGTGCTGCCCAATTCATGACTTGCTCTTTGCTCCAATAAATACTATTAAGTTTATTTTGTCTAAAGTTTTAGTTTTTTAAACAGTCTTCCCTTTACCTCACACCTGATTTTATGGATCTACGTATCTATGAGAGAATGAAAAGTGCTGAAGTATTACCGTTCAGCCCAATGCAATTCCCATTCCCTGCAGGGAGTCTGGACCTAGTTTGCAAAGGCCAAGTTAGAGAAACTCTACTTGTCCTCCTACTCCAAGGGGCCCTCAGTCATATCTCCTAAACTTGACCTTTGTGTCATCCCACCCAGAGGAGCTGCAATAATAATCAGGCTGAGGACTTATCCCCCACAGCCTCCAGGGACCTAGGGCCCAGAGTCCTGGAGGCCATGGAAGTGTCCCAGAGAAGAAGAACATTGCTTTCTCCAGCCCCCCTAGGGACACAGCCCTGGTGATAAAACGCCTCCAAGGTCCTCTGGGCTGCAGCTCTTCTTCCTGAAAGCCTCCTCTAACCCTTCTATACAAGTCACAAAAAGATGTCAGGTTGGCTGAATTTTCAGAGGTAACCCACCAGATTTATTTAGATTGCTTTTGGGTATCCACTGCATGACTTGGCATCCTTCCCTTCTGGGATACAGACAGGCTCAGCTTTTGTCTATACCCCTGGCAACAGAGGCCATAAACAAGTGTGATCCAAAGGACAAGCACCTAAGAGGTGACCTTGTCCCTGACTGCCTCTCTGACTAGCCTAGAATCTCCCATCCCACCCCATTTGTAATTCATCCATGTTTACAATAAAATTAAAACAATCTTTTTTTTTTTTTTTTTTTTTTTTGACACAGAGTCTCACTTTGTCACCCAGGCTGGAGTGCCGTGATAAAATCGCAGCTCACTTCAGCTTTGACCTCCCAGCCTCAAGTGATCCTCCCACCTCAGTCTCCTGAATAGGTGGGACTACAGGTGTGCACCATGATGCCTGGGTTTTTGTTTCTTTTTTGTTTGTTTGTTTGTTGGTAGAAGGAGTATCTCACTATGTTGCCCAGGTTGGTCTCAAATTCTTGGGCTCAAGTCATCCTCCCATCTCAGCCTCTCAAAATGCTGGCATTATAGGCTCAAGTCACCGTGCCTGGCCTGAAATAATTTTTGAGGTCAATCTTCTGTGATGGTTATTGGCATTTAGTATGTGCTTGATAATTATATGTTGAATGGGTGAATAAATGAATATTATCTCACAAAAATTACTAGAGTCTCTTAAGCAAACATTACACACAACGATTATTCTGGCTGAGTATATCCTATTGTTTTACAACACCTCAGCTGCCATAAAAAGGTTTATGTGGCCCTTGTCATGAGCCTGAGCAGAGATGCTATCATGTGGCACTAATAGTGACACTGAAGTTTCCAGAAGCCAAGTGGCTCTATAAGTAAGAGAAGCTCTGAGAGGCACAGAGGATCCATGGAGTTCATAATGGTTCCTGAGATCTGCCACTTAAGGGAGCTTCTGTTCTCTCCACGAGGAGACACAAAATGTAGAGGCAATGGCAGCTTGTTGCTGCAAAGTGTTACACCCCAGAATTGGGAGAGAGTCAGTGAGTTGGCAATTGCCAGTTCATTTGGGTCATCTAGACTGAGTTTCTCATGGCACCCAGGGAAAGGTAGAGATGCTGGCTTTAGTGTACTCACTCAATAGGTGACATAATAGTTTCCCTTCAGGAAACCCAGTGGATGAAATGTCTCAGTGGCTGAGAGTTCAAATCAGGCAGAACATCGGATAATGCAAAGGCCTGGATCGCAGATTCCCAGGAGAATATGAAGCCCAGTGGCTGTTTTAGAAGGCTGTGAGTGTCTTAAATGCATATTTCTACCTGAAGTGCATAAGGATGACACTTTTCCCTCCCCCTTCTCAGGTTCTCATTCATACCCAGTCTTGGAAAAACCATCACCTTGTCCTGAATCTACACTGCACTTAACCTATTTGTTTGCTGCATTCTTCAAGAGAGGGAAAAATCAGTTTCACAGATAAAAAGCAGGTCTGCACAGTCCCTCTGGCAGAGCCAAAGAGGTGGCATCAACATAAAAGATTTTCCTGATCATCCCTTTCTACATAATACATCTACCTTCAGAGACCTTCCTCCCCAGTGGTACCATCCTGGTAATGGGAAATAATGTCCCCTGGAGAAGACATTATGTGTGTCTTTGTGTACATTTTTTTGGAAGATGAAAGAGGATGTGAATGATCAGAAAATAAATATTCTTTTTGTTGGCTATTTCATGAAATGATAAATGGTTTCATATATGTCTCGAATGTGAGCAAACATCTGCTCCATCTGATTTCACTAAAGTTAGAAAATAGTAACTTCAATGAAAAAAATCTGAAATCTGAGTTGAAGATGATTTCTTTCACCTTATTTTGAAATATTTTTATGTATCTGATGACCATGTTTGACTTTTCAACTTTGACACTCTTAAAGCATCTGCACCTATTGCAAAAAACAGATCCAGGAGGTCTATTTTGATGGTTCCTTATCATCTTCATATGAAATTGTTTAATCCAAAGAGGGCCTAGCTTCATATATATTTACCGTTCAAATTAGCAACTCTGAAGGCATATACCAAAAAAAATGTTTTAAGGTGGGTAGTGGAGAAGGTGGAAGCTTAATTATAAATACCCAATTTCAGACCCCATAAAAGAAGATTTTATGCATATTAAATCAGTTATGTGACAAGAACCTGTAGAAAGTTATGTAATACTTACCTTCTTTTTCCTAGTTCTTGGAGGATTATGCAGAAATCCATTCTGAAAGACAAAAAGATTCAGGTACATGGTCAGCCTATGTTTCTGTTCTGTGAGTCTGGCATTTCAACCTCCTCCCAAATATTTCTACCTGAATGTTCCACTGCCAGCTCCAACCCAAGGTGTCTGAATGAGAAACCATCTCCCTCTCTTCCCCTGTGCTGCTTCTATACTTTAATCAATAGAAGCCAGGAAATCATCTTCAGCACAATTTTCCCTTTTCTTGTGCTTCTTTACTAAATCCTAAGAAGTTTTAGTAATCTCATACCATCTATCACCTCTTTTCCAGTCCCACCAGTGCCACTCCAGCTGGAGTCCCTATACCAGAGCTATTTGAGCAGCACACACTTACTGCATGCTACTGGGTGTCAGTCACTCCGATCTTGGACACATGAAGATGGGAAAACCAAAAGGGGTCTACAGACAAAAAGCACTCACAAAAGAATAAATATAAAACAGTGAATGAAAGGCCTTAGCAGAGGGCTCAGGAGTCCTGGGAAGGGATTATCCATGGCCAGCTCAATGAACATTCAGGAAGGGGTAACACTTGAGCTGAGCATTCTAGATTGAGTATAGGTTTGCTGGTGGGGAAAGCCTGATGGCTGCCTAAAATACTGTTTTATGGCCAGGTGCAGTGGCTGTTTCCTGTAATCCCAGCACTTTGGGAGGCTGAGGAGGGCCGATCACTTGATGTCAGGAATTTGAGATCAGCCTGGCCAACATGGCGAAACCTCGTCTCTATTAAAAATATAAAAATTAGCCTGGCAGGGTGGTGCATGACGGTAGTCCCAGCTACTTGAGAGGCTGGGGCACAAGAATCACTTGAACCTGTGAGGCTGAGGTTGCAGTGAACCGAGATTGAGCCACTGCACTCCTGCCTGGGTGACAGAACAAGACTGTCTCCTACAAATAAATAAAATAAAATAAAATAAAATATTATACTAAATGTCATTTCCAATCCTAAAAGATTTCACTGAGTCCTTGTTATCTCAGTTATAGCTTTGATCTCTTCTGCCTGGCATTAAAGCCCTCTACAAACTGCTCCAATTGTTGGATTATGCCTAATTGCACACAACCTGTCTACGTAAATCCGCAAAGCTAGGCTGGGCACGGTAGGGAGGCCGAGGCTGGTGGATCACGAGGTCAAGAGATCGAGACCATCCTGGTCAACATGGTGAAACCCCGTCTCTACTAAAAATACAAAAAATTAGCCGGGCATGGTGGTGCGTGCCTGTAATCCCAGCTACTCAGGAGGCTGAGGCAGGAGAATTGCCTGAACCCAGGAGGCGGAGGTTGCGGTGAGCCGAGATCGCGCCATTGCACTCCAGCCTGGGTAACAAGAGCGAAACTCCGTCTCAAAAAAAAAAAAAAAAAATCCGCAAAGCTACTTTTGCCATGGTTATAGTTTTCATGCCATTCTTTCTCTGAAGTGTCTTCCTCCACTTTTTGACTACCAACTCTTTTCTTTTTTTCAGTGCACAAAGCTGTCTGCATGCACCCTAGTCAGACTGACCCTTCCCTCCTCCAAGCTGCTGTGTCTATCCTGATGGAGTCCCTGGTACAACATGGATGTGCTGCACTGGGTTATGAATGTGGAGTCCCTCTCTCCTGAGTGAGAGGATAAACTCACTGGAATCAAGGCTTTAGCTATGACCTAACACACATTTGGTGAATAAACAGTGACCTCATTATTAGGGAACAACAAGAAGGGGCACAGGTCTGGCCCTTTGTCACTGGAATACCTCCATCAGCCATCGTAGGGGCCACCCGTCACAGCGCACACTCAGCCTCCAGTTCTTTGATCTTGCGTGGCCTCCTTTGATTTCAAATTCGCTGGGGGTGAACCAATTTCCATCCTCACTCTGTATACACTTCACCAAGATTCCTGTAAGACCAGGGTAAGTTGATCCTGAGCCCTCTTTGTTCCCAGTGCTCAGACTGTGGCCACTCACCAACTGATCACACAATTTGTGATCCAGATCAACAGCAGGAGGGTCTGGCCTTCCGTCTCAAGCTTCAGAGGCCCCAAATCCAGCCTGAAAGTTCCCTCTAAGGATATTTCCTGTGAGGGTACACATTTCTTTGACTTTCATCCATGAAGAAAGTGATAGTTATCATCAAGAGCATCCTTTTAAGTGTTTCAAAAGCACTTACAGAAGGAAAAGCAAGTGATTCTGAAAGATAAGAGGATTCCAAATTGCTATTCAAATTTGGAAGCAGAGACCAGGCCTGAGTCTCCAGATGGCTCTGAGGGCAATGTTGGAGGCAGAATCCTCAACTTTTGGCTACGGTCTAAGATGGGTGCCCTATGGCTCAGGGAGCCACTCCAGCAACATCTGCACTCTCAATGATAACATATTTTGTGCAGTTTAATGGCATTATTGAACAGAGATTTTCACATCTCTGCAATCATGGGTAGCTGATATTTAAAAACTAATTGTGAAATGTTATCCAATAAAAAATGTAATGTTTATGTAAAAGATAGCCACATTCTCAACGCCATTAGTCATTAAGGAAACACAAAGGAAAACCACAATGAGATACCATGTCACACCCACTAGGATGAGTGTAATAAACACACACACACACACACACACACACACACACACAGGCAATAACAAGGTTGGTGAGCATGTAGAGAAATTGGAGCCTTCAAACACTGCTGGTGGGAATATAGAATAGTGCAGCCACTGTTGAAAACACTGGTGATTCCTCAGTAAGTTAAACACAGAATTACCATATGACTTAGTAATTCCTCTCTTGAATATACACCCAAAAGAACTGAAATATGTTCACACAAAACTTGCTACACAAATGTTCAAAACAGCATTATTTATAATAGCCAAAGAGTGAAAATAGTTCCAAATAATGAGTTTATAAACAAAATGTAGTATATCTATACAATGAAATATATTATTTGTCAATAAAAGGAATGAAGTACTAATACATTCACTGTGGATGAACTTTGAAAATATCATGCTCAGTGAACGAAGGCAGTCAAGAAAGGGCATGTATTATAGAGTTCCATTTACAGAAAGGCCTACAATAGGCAAACTTATAGAGCAGAAAATAGATTAGTGGCTGCTTAGGTGGGAATGGACATTGACTGCTAATTGACAAGGGTTTTTTTTTTTTAGTGGGGAGCACATTGTTCTAAAATTAGAGGATGATGACTGTACAATTCTGGGGTATACAAAAAATAGTTGATTTGTACACTCTAAGTGGCGAGTTGTATGATATGTGAACTATATCTCAGTAAAGCTGTTTAAAACTAGTCACAATGCAAACATTTCTATTAATCGGCATCCAAAGAGTCATATTACGAGTAGTCTGAGATGATGGCCATTCTAATAGACATTTTTTGCAAAGTTTCTTATAATTTACAATAAAAACATGTAAATTTATGTATTTTACATCAATATGTAAATTAGTTCTCACAGCTATATCATGAGGCAGGTGTTCAATTATTCTTCCCTCTCTTGGATGAGAAATTTCAGGTTCAGAAAGGCCCCCTTCTCTACTTAGAATGGAACAGTCATTCCTGGCACAGCCAAGGCTGGAACTCAGGCTTCCTAATTTTAAAACCTGAGACTGTCACCCTAAGCCAAGCACCCTGCCTTGGTGACAGCACTCCAGAAAGAAGGGAGAATATGAAGATCAAGGCTGAGGGCCTCTTCCATTTTCTGTCTGACTCAAGGTAAAATACATGACATTTTCCATCTGTGAACTGACGTTCCTGCACTTCTTCTTGATTCTTCGGGCACCCCCCTGGACACTACCTGTGCGAGTGAGCATTTAATGGGTGCGATTTCTTAAAGTCTGAAAATGTCATCTTAGGGATCCCTTCCTCCTTTCCGCAAGCCAAACTGGGGTCAAAACTCCTTGAATGATGTGTAATTCACATGATAATTCCCCACTACTTGTGATACCTTCAGATAGGAGCTTCAAATTAAAGAAGACCATAAAACCTACCTTGTTTCAAATTCTTCTTATGTAAAATTCCTTTCACCTCACCACAGGTCACTGGAAGTATAGGAGCCTTAAAATCCACAGTTTTGTCTTTGCACTTTCTTGAAACTGAAAGAGAGGATTTCTTCACTCTGTCTCATTTTGCAAAGGCACATCCCCCCTCCCTACTGAGGTAATTCCTATAAAGACACAAGGGATACTTAGAAAATTCTATTCCAAAAATTTCTAGAGTTTCAAAGTCTTCCTTCAAAGTGGCACTTTTGATACATAACTACAGAATATCTACCCCAATTTCACCTTTCAAGTTTCATACAAAATGGAATGCTTTGGCAGAGAAATTAGACTTCAGTAAAACTCCTAATCTAGTAAGCTCCACTGATTCTTATATGATAATGAAACACAGTTGCTGTCACTGGTCTGACAGGAGCTCTCCAGCTATGCTGTTTTGCTGCAGGTAGGTAGCCTTAGATGAAGCCAGAGACCATACTCGATCTCCCCATTTTGGCACTGACTGGGCAAGCAGTGAGAGGATAATGATGAGATAACCTAATGGAGATGATGTCTGACTTCTATTTTTGTTCTCTGCTTTGGTTCATTTCTCCTTAATGTCAGCTTTCCCCATAGCTGAGAGAAGAGCTCAGGAAGCTCTAGAATAATCTGAAAATTATACAGGGTGGCAGATGGAGGACTGGAGACTTGATTTCACAGAAGTAGGGGTTGAAAGTTCTTCAAAGGAACTCCAGGAGCGTGAGCAGCAAATCCTGCCCTTCCAGCCAAAGGTGTAGGGCTAGGCACGATGGCTTATGCCTGTAATCACAGCACTTTGGGAAGGCAAGGCAGGTGGATCACTTGAGGTCTGGAGTTCAAGACCAGCCTGGCCAACATGGTGAAACTCCATCTCTACTAAAAATATAAAAATTAGCCAGGCATGGGGGCACCCACCTGTAATCCCAGCTACTTGGGAGGCTGAGGCAGGAGAATTGCTTGAACCTGAGAGGCAGAGGTTGCAGTGAGCTGAGATCACACCACTGCACTCCAGCCTAGGCAACAGAAGTCATGACAAACAGGGGAGCTGTCCTTGGTCCTGGTACAAATTTTTAGAAAGGCAGACTATTAGGACTGGGCTGGACTAAAAAGAAAGATGGTTGGCCCACATACAGAATGGGAGAAAATTTTTGCAATCTATCCATCTTATAAAGGGCTAGTATCCAGAATCTACAAAGAACTTAAACAAATTTACAAGAAAAAAAAGAAAACCTACCAAAAAGTGGGTTAAGGATATGAACAGACACTTTTCAAAGACAACATTTATGCAGCTAACAAACATGAAAAAATAACTCACTATCACTGGTCATTAGAGAAATGCAACTCAAAACCACAATGAGATACCATCTCACACCTGTTAGAATGATGATCTTTAAAAAGTCAGGAAATGGCAGATGCTGGAAAGGATGTGAGCAAATAGGAATGCTTTTACACTGTTGGTGGGAGTGTAAATTAGTTCAATCATTGTGGAAGACAGTGTGGTGATTTTTCGAGGATCTGGAACCAGAAACAGCATTTGACCCAACAATGCTATTACTGGGCATATACCCAAAGGATTATAAATCATTCTGCTATAAAGACACATGCACATGTATGTTTATTACAACACTGTTCACAATAACAGAGACATGGAACCAACCCAAATGCCCATCAATGATAGACTGGATAAAGAAATGGTGGCACATATACACCATGGAATACTATGCAGTCATAAAAAAGGATGAGTTCAGGTCCTTTGCAGGGACATGGATGAAGCTGGAAACTATCATTCTCAGCTTACTAACACAGGAACAGAAGAGCAAACACCACATGTTCTCACTCATAAGTGGGAGATGAGGACACATGGACACAGAGAGGGGAATATCACACACTGGGGCCTGTCTGGGGGTGAGGGGTAAGAGGAGGGATAGCATTAGGAGAAATACCTAATGTAGATGACAGGTTGATGGGTGCAGAAAACCACCATGGCACATGTATACCTATGTAACAAATCTGCATGTTCTAAACATGTATCTCAGAACCTAAAGTATAATAAAAATAAAAATTTTTCAAAAGATGGTTGGCCTAATTCATGCTCCTGCTTTCCAAAGGAGAAAACTGAAGCAAATAAGGTCAAGTGATCACTTCAAGCCCACACAAAGGTAAAAAAAAGTCTTAGGACACAGATCTATAACCACAACTCTGGTTCACCCTTAGTGTGAAACCTGTGGCTTTCTGTGTAGCCAGAGGAAGGTCAGCTAAGTAACTTATGGGTTATAGCCTTTATATGGCAATGGACTATCTCCAACCATGAAATTTATCATTTCAGTGGAAGTAGCGCTTTCATGTCCCCTGGGCCCCTGGGGTCTGGTTGTAGATGCATCACCAACTTACTTTCTTCTTTCCTTGACATGTTTTGGAAATGACTAAATTGGATACATTTCTCAATAGTCAGCTTCATAAAACAATTAAGGAAATAGGTTTATTACTGAAAATACAGCATAAAGCACAGTAAATTAGATGTTGGGTTATTGAAAGTGCATTCCTCTTTTCTTTTTTACCTCTTGATCGGACTCTTTTCTGTGGAGCTCTGTTAGTCTGGGTGAAGCGGGCTCTAGGTCTGCCTCTCTTTCTCCCTGAGAAAGTAGAATAATATAATCACAGGCACAGACAAGCAGCTGTATTACATATATTACTGCTTCTCAAAAATTCCATCTAAATGTAACTTTCCAAAAGCCTGTTGAATGCATAAATAAAAGGATTTAAACCCTAGCCTTTAAAGTATGAAGAATTAGATGGCTAGTATTAGATTCACTTTATATTTCATTTTCCTATTCTTACATTAGAAAAAAAAACTAATTGAAATCACTATTTCACATATATCTCAAGCAACAGTATAAATGCTTCATTCCATATTTTGAAGGTTCATTTCATATTTTGAAAGTTCATTTCATATTTCATTTCAAATATACATATTTGAAATACATATGGCATATAATATATGCTAAACACTTATACATCCACTAATTTATTTAATCTTTGTAAGATCAAAATGATGACTGCTATCATTACAGAAACTAAAATATTCAGAGAAAATTGAGACAAGACTACAAAATTAAGTGAAGGCATTTGGGTTTTTCTTAGCAGAGGCACAAATAAATGACAATTCTGTGAGTTAAGGGAAACCCTAACAGGTGGTGAGAGTTGTGCTACACATATCATATCGAGGGAAGATATTTGTACCTCTGTGCTCAAGACAGGAAATAACTCATCTAGGAGGAGGACTTGAAAGGGCAGTGAGAGAATAACCTGTAATCTGCTCACAATTTGCCGGGTCCAGCCGTTTTAATAAACCAATGATGTAAGGCAAAGGAATTTCCAGGAAAATCAGATAAAAAACAGGAAAACTATTTTAGAAACTGGACAGATAAGATCTATTATATGAATATAATCAACTTACAACCCTAACTTCTAATGGATTTGCTTTTTTAGATTTCATTGCTCTCAAATTGACTAAGCTTGACAAGTAAACAATTAAGAAGGATCTAAGCTCATCAATATCTCAGTAAAATTTGTATTAACCTGCAGGGCAAAAGGAAAGTGGCATAAACTTTTATCTTACTCCTAATCTTGAAAGGGCCTTGGAGATTCACGTTCGTCTTCTTTTCACTGAACATCAACTGGCCATCAGCTTTGCTGTTACCTGGGGATAGGCAGGGGAAAATGTATTAATAGAACAGGGCAGAACAACAGCTGACAGGCTGGACCAAAAGCAAGTGAGGGAGTCCTGGGTTTCATTATGGATCCTCTTTCTTTATACACTCAGACACAGAACCTCAAGCAGGTGTCCAGAGCATTTTCTGCTTTAGGAGTGTCAGCTTTTTAATTACACACAGGATTTAACTGCACACTGAAGTACCTTAGAATTTGTCTACATACACACAGACCTAAATGAAAAATGTTATAATGATTTGGTCCAAACAAATTTTTAATTTAAAAACACCCATTCTTAAAATGGATGCAGCCACTTTTTTTCCTTTCCAAACAAAACTATACACATCCACCAACGAAGCAGCCCCATCAACTGGCAAGAATAGAAGACATATAGTTTCATAAAAATTAATAATTTTTGATAAGACTCTAAAATTTGGCCGGGCGCGGTGGCTCAAGCCTGTAATCCCAGCACTTTGGGAGGCCGAGGCGGGTGGATCACAAGGTCAAGAGATCGAGACCATCCTGGTCAACATGGTGAAACCCCGTCTCTACT